CACCGCGCACCCACCGCGCCCACCCACAGCGCACCCAGCACCGGGGGTGGCTCCCGGGGGGCTGAGGGCACCTCAGAGGGTTCTGAGGGCATTGTGGAGGGTTCTGAGGGCACCTCGGAGGGTTCTGAGGGCATCTTGGAAGGTTCTGAGAGCTCCTCCGAGGGTTCTGAGGGCACCTGGTGCTCCTCGGAGAGCTCTGAGAACTTCTTGGAGGGTCCTGAGGGCTCCAGGGTCTCCTCAGAACGTTCTGAAGGCACTAGAGGCTCCTTGGAGAGCTCTGAGTGCACCTCAAAGGGTTCTGAGGGCTCCAAGATCTCCTCTGAGGATTCTGAAGGCTCCAGAATCTCCTCGGAGAATTCTGAGGGCTCCAAGGTCTCCTCAGAGAGATCTGAGGGCACTGGGTGCTCCTCAGAGAGCTCTGGAGGCTCCTTGAAGGTTTCTGAGGGCTCCAAGGTGTCCTCGGAGGATTCTGAGGGCTCCAAGGTCTCGTCAGAAGGTTCTGAGGGCTCCAGGATACCCTCAGAGGGTTCTGAGGGCTCCTCGAAGGGTTCTGAGGGCTCCAAGGTCTCCTCAGAGGGTTCAGATGACACTTCTGGTTCATCTGGAGATGTGGTGGAGAAGAGATGGGACTGGGTGAGGGTGTCAGGCCCAACTAGCACCCACAAATCAACCACTGGCACCCACCTGTCCATCATCCATCTCCTGATCCATGGTCCTTCACCCACCTGTCCATCATCCATCTCCTCCAGCCATGGTCCCTCACCCACCTGTCCATTATCCATCTCCTCCCCAGTGGCCTCAAATCCTCTCCCAATGTCCCCCCAGTATCCCCCAGTGCCCTCCCAGTGCCCCCCCAGTGGCCTTCAATGCTCTTCCAGTGTTCCCCCAGTGTCCCCCAGTGCCCTCCCATTACCCCCCAGTGTCCTCCAATGCTCTCTCAGTGTCTGCCCAGTGTCCCCCTAGTTCCCTCCCAGTGCCTTCCCAGTGGCCTCCAATGCTCTCCCAGTGTCCCCCCAGTATCCCCCAGTGCCTTCCTGGTGCCTCCCAGTCCCTCCCAGTGCCCTCCCAATATCCCCCAGTCCCTCCCAGGGTCCCCCTATGTCACTCACCTGGTGTCCCCAGGCCAGCACTGTCCCCTCGGGGGGGTCCTTGTCCTTCTCCAACACCATCTCCATGTCCCATTCCATGTCCATATCCATATCCATGTCCATGTCCTTCTCCATGTCCTATTCCATGTCCATGTCCATATCCATGTCCTTGTCCCTCTTCTTGTCCTATTCCCTGTCCATGTCCATATCCATGTCCATGTTCTTGTCCTTCTCCATGTCCCATTCCATGTCCATGTCCATATCCATGTCCTTGTCCCTCTTCTTGTCCTATTCCCTGTCCATGTCCATATCCATGTCCATGTTCTTGTCCTTCTCCATGTCCCATTCCATGTCCATGTCCATATCCATGTCCTTGTCCCTCTTCTTGTCCTATTCCCTGTCCATGTCCATATCCATGTCCATGTTCTTGTCCTTCTCCATGTCCCATTCCATGTCCATGTCCATATCCATGTCCTTGTCCCTCTTCTTGTCCTATTCCCTGTCCATGTCCATATCCATGTCCATGTTCTTGTCCTTCTCCATGTCCCATTCCATGTCCATGTCCATATCCATGTCCTTGTCCCTCTTCTTGTCCTATTCCCTGTCCATGTCCATATCCATGTCCATGTTCTTGTCCTTCTCCATGTCCCATTCCCATTCTATGTCCATCTCCATGTCCTCGTCCATCTCCATGTCCTAGTCCCATTCCCTGTCCATGTCCATATCCATCTCCATGTCCTTGTCCATCTCCATGTCCCATTCCTCTTCTCTGTTCATGTCCATATCCATGTCTATATCCTTGTCCATCTCCATGTCCCAGTCCCATTCCCTGTCCATGTTGTTGTCCTTCTCCATCTCCATGTCCCAGTCCCATTCCCTGTCCATGTCCATATCCATATTCTCGTCCCATTCCCAGTCCATGTTCTTGTCCATCTCCATGTCCCAGTCCCATTCTATGTCCGTGTCCATATCCATGTCCTCGTCCCTCTCCTTGTCCCATTCCCTGTCCACGTCCATCTCCATGTCTATGTCCATCTCCACGTCCCTTTCCTTGTCCCAATCCCATTCCCAGTCCATGTTCTTCTCCATCTCCATCTCCCATTCCAATTCTCTGTCCACGTCCCTTTCCCTGTCCATCTCCATGTCTATGTCCATCTCCATGTCCACGTCCACGTCCCTTTCCTTGGCCCTGTCCCATTCCCTGTCCGTGTTCTTGTCCATCTCCACGTCCACCTCCATATCCATGTCCTTGTCCCTTTCCCTGTCCACCTCCATGTCCATCTCCATGTCCGTGTCCACCTCCATGTCCTTGTCCCCCTCCCTGTCCATCTCCATGTCCGTGTCCACCTCCATGTCCTTGTCCCTCTCCCTGTCCATCTCCACGTCCATGTCCATCTCCACGTCCCTGTCCCATTCCCGTTCCCTGTCTCCTGAGGATGTAGCCCAGGATGGCTCGGGCCACGCCTGGCACCGTCTGGTTGCCGCGGAGGGTGAAGTTGGTGGCCCTGAGGTGACTCTCCAGGCGCTGCAGGGGGGACCCGCGGTACTGGGACAGTCCCACCAGGAGCTCCTGCATGGAGGGGACACCTGGGGACCACGGGGACACCGGTGGCCAGGTGGGCAGGGAGAGGGATGGGGAGCCTGGAGAGCCTGGAGAACTTGGAGAGCCTGGAGAGCTTGGGGAGCTTGGAGAACTTGTCCCATTCCCGTTCCCTGTCTCCTGAGGATGTAGCCCAGGATGGCTCGGGCCACGCCTGGCACCGTCTGGTTGCCGCGGAGGGTGAAGTTGGTGGCCCTGAGGTGACTCTCCAGGCGCTGCAGGGGGGACCCGCGGTACTGGGACAGTCCCACCAGGAGCTCCTGCATGGAGGGGACACCTGGGGACCACGGGGACACCGGTGGCCAGGTGGGCAGGGAGAGGGATGGAGAGCCTGGAGAGCCTGGAGAACTTGGAGAGCTTGGAGAACTTGGAGAGCCTGGGGAACTTGGAGAGCTTGGAGAGCCTGGAGAGCCTGGAGAGCTTGGGACTTCTGGAGATCCTGGGGACACTGGGGATGAAGGTGACCTTGGAGATCCTGGGGACACGGGGAACCTTGGGACTTCTGGGGACACTGGGGACCTTGGAGATTCTGGAGATCCTGGGGACACTGGTGACCTTGGGGATCCTGGATATCCTGGGGACACTGGTGACCTTGGAGATCCTGGAGATCCTGGGGACACTGGTGATCTTGGGACTTCTGGTGACCTTGGGACTTCTGGAGATCCTGGGGACCTTGGAGATCCTGGAGACACTGGTGACCTTGGAACTTCTGGTGACCTCGGGACTTCTGGAACTTCTGGGGACCTTGGAGATCCTGGAGGTCCTGGAGATGCTGGGGACCTTGGAAACTCTGAGGACCATGGAGATCCTGGGGACACCTGGAGCTCTGGATTCACCTGGAGCTCTGGAGCTCTCGGGGCCTCAGGTGCCCTGGAGGACCCTTGAGGTGACCTCGGGGAGCCCTGAGGGGACTCCCCGGGGGGTGGCACAGGTGACACCAGAGCTGTGGAGCAAAGAGGGTTCAGGTCACCAACCTGGCCCCAAACGGGGACCACACCTGGCACACCACCACCTCCTGGGGACCCAGGTGGCCCTAGATGTCCCTTAGATGCCCCCACGTGGCCCTAGATGCCCCCACGTGGCGTGTCTCTTAGCTGCCCCCAGGTGTCACCAGGTGTCCCTTAGATGCCCCCAGGTGGCCCTAGATGCCCCCAGGTGGCACCAGGTATCCCTAGATGCCCCCAGGTGGCACCAGGTGTCTCCAGATGCCCTCAGGTGCCCTTAGATGCCCCCAGGTGCCCACAGGTGTCCCAGGTGTCCTCACCTGTCCGGATGCGGATGACGCCAGGTGTGCCCAGGTGTGTGCCCACCCTGGGCTGCAGCCGCAGCTCGAGGGGTCGCCCTGGGGTCAGCCCGGACACGGAGAAGGTCACGGCCGAGGCAGGAAGGGCATGGGAGGTGTTGCCCACTCGG